TATTGAGCATCTAGCCTTACTCCGATGCCTAACAGACAGAATGAAAGAATTTCTTTTCATCAGGACCACTTACTGGGAAAACAGGAGGCTGGACTGTAGTCCCCTCTCCTAGCGACACGTCCCGGGGTACGTACGCTTGGTCATAGGATGCCACACAGCTAGGCGGCTGCTGCCTGCGTTTGGCTGTGATGCTTTGACCCTTTCTTAGGTGAGTACCTGAACATCTAGCCCCATGACTAAATACTGACTGAGGGCTAGAGAAAATGAATTATTATATAGGGGTGGAGTAGGTTCAGCTGAAAAGACTGAGGAAGAATGGTTCCATGAAAATTATCCCTAGAAATAATAATATATCATTTGGTTGGATCAGCAGCTTGAACTGACTGGCTGACTCTGCATCAATGCCTGCCATGGCACAGGGGAGAGGAGAGTGAATGTGACATGGGATACAACACAATCTCAAATGTAGCTTTTGGGACAGGGAGTCCCCAAAATTCATGTTTTAACTGTGAAGATTTGGGGTGAAATGGGACCTCTGATGGACTTCAAAGTGAAAGAGGTGAGCTCTCCTTAGCTTTCCAAAGTAAGAGTGCAGGTGACAAGCTCCCAGAAGAAGATTCATATGCTTGACCTTGTTGGAGGTAAGTCTCGCTCTCCCTCTGGTCAAAAGTTAAGTACCTGAGGCCATTTTCAGTATGCTGCTTGACTTCGTGTCCTGTTTCTCTCTAGCCATTGCAGAGTGACTTCTTAGGCGCTTTCCCCGTGTCTTCTGTAAGAAGCTGTGAAGTATGTGGTCTGTTAAATTTGGGTTACAGGACTTCTAGGTATCTCATGCTGAAGTACCTATAACCAATTTTGTGAAGTTTGAAGGTTTTAGATGAAACCAGCTTCTGGTGCAATTGACTTCAAGTGATAAGTCTTAAGAAATATGTACGCTGTGTCTTGCTCTCTTTATGTACATATACATATATATGACAAGACTTAGAGATTGAGAGCAATAACATAAATGCAAAATTAATAAATTCTTCCTCTTAATTATTGCCCCCTTTTGTTGCAAGTGTCTGAATTACTTTCATGCTTATTATTGGCTCAAAAATACACTCACATACAAGACAGTTTAGTTAATACAATTCTTTCTTGGCTAATGATGGAGCTGTAAATATGCTAATGTAGGCACCAGGCAAATCCAAACCATTGTGCTGCTGTTCTCCATTCTACCCTCTCCTTTCTGCTAGCCTGCATTGCTTCTGCCTTCTAGGCTACTAAATGCCACTAGTCTTTTAATCCTGTTCCTAGTGGATATCTCCATTTAGCTAGGTTTTTTTCTCGCATTTCAGCTTCTTCCTTCTCCAAAAGTGAGGACTTCCAGGGATGGGGAGCAGGGGAAAGGGAAAGAGCAGGGTTCTGCTCCTCAGCTTTTTCTGGATAAGAACCTCAGTCCTGTCTGACATCCAAATAGAAAGGCTTGCTCAGTGCTCTGTGAACAGGTCCGTGTCTACTGTCTTTACAGTTGGAGTGTCTTTTCCCAGAAACAGGAGAACAAAACTGTTGGGAGAGAATGTAATGCAACAGGTCTGGAGTCTCTGACACAAGTTTTGGAGATAATGACTGGGGGTGGGGTAGGTGTTGCAGAGGTGGAAGGAATGATCCTATTTTTCAAAATAATTGTCATTTCAAGCTCCTTGTGGACTGTGGCAGAGAGGACCTTGATTGCCTTTGAATCAGTGTTGCTTTTCACAACTAGAATTCAGTAAAACCCAAATCACCCGAGATTGTAAAGTGATCACGTAGGGACCACATTAGGACATGGTTTCCTACCACTGCAACTGCAAAATCTGTATATAAACAGATCCAGGTCGTGGGACAAAAGCTGTGGAGCAAAAGAAACCTGTAGAGATTTGGTACACGTTTCAAGGCACACTTTCTGCTTTAGGAGAGACCACCTGCCTTTCTTTGCATAAGACAGCCAGCACGCAGGAGGCCAGAGGTTTTACTTTAAGGCACAACCCTTCCCATGGGTTACAACACTTCAGGTTACATGAGTAAGTAAGTGCTGGTGTAAGGGGCAATGAGATTAATTCAGGTTGTCAAAATGCTCTTTAGTACAGGTGAGGTATTAATGAGATGATTGTTATCCTGAAGGTGAAATCTTCTCCCCTTTCCCTCTCATGAAGAGATTTTTAAAAAACACCACACCACAAACCCTACTGATCAAAATCACTGCCTTAGCTTTTTGCTTAGGTGACACAATTAAAATCTATCTTCTTACGCATCTAGTAGCTTCATACCATGTAGTCACTTTTAATCATGCTCTGCTATTATTTGCCTCGTTTAAGAAATATATTCACTAAATACTTAACTAGCTTGTGGAACTACTCCCAAAGCTCAGTTTTGCCAACTGTTAAAAGCTTATAATGCTGCTCATGACACTGTGATTCTGCACTCAACATCTTTAAGGTATAAAAAAAAAAATCATAATAGCTCTGCACTAAAATGCTTCTCAGGGCATGTGTGCATGTCTCCCCCCTTTTGTTTTTTCAACCTGGAAGAAAGGTTTAAAAAAACACCTTGCTGGCTTTTGGACCTGGGGGTCCTGGCGGACACCAAGTTGAACACGAGCCAAGCAATGTGCTCTTGGTACAAATAAGGTTAATGGTATTCTGGGCTGCATCAGGAGGAATGTTGTCAGCAGGTGGAGGGAGGTGATGCTGCCCCTCAGCACTGGTGAGGCCTCAGCTGGAGCGCTGGGTCCAGTTCTGGGCTCCACAGTACAAGAGAGACACGGACATGCTGGAGGGAGTCTGGTGAAAGGCTACAAAGGTGATGAAGGGATGGGAGCATGTCTCCTGTGAGGAAACGCTGAGAGAGTTGGGACTGCTCAGCCTGGAGAAGAGAAGGCTCAGGGGGAATCTCACAAATACGTGAAGGTATATAAATACGTCTATAAATACCTGAAGGGAGGGTGGAAAGAAGACAGAGCCTGGCTCTTTTCAGTTGTGCCCAGTGGGAGGACCAGATGCAATGGGCACAAACTGAAATGCAGGAGCTGCTGTCTGAACGTCAGGAAACACTTTTTGTTACTGTGAGGGTGACCCAGCACTGGACTAGGTTGCTCAGAGAGGTTGTGGAGTCTCCATCATTGGAGATATTCAAAAGCCATCTGGACATGGTCCTGGGCAACTAGCTCTGGGTGGCCCTGCTTGAGCAGGGAGGTCCCTGCAGAGGTCCCTTCCACCCTCAATCATTCTTGTGATTGCAGAATGAAGCCCCTGGAGTACAAGACTACAAGCTAGAGCCCTGTTTCTTCTCATCTTAACTACTACCTCCCACTGGTCTGAGGTGAGCCTCGTTACCCTTACTGGCCTACACAGGAAAATGCCTAAGAAACGATCCTTCAACCTGTCAAAGGCTTTTTGCTACAGAAGAGCAAGCAAAACAGCAAGTGGGGAAAGGGAAAGAAAGATTAAGCCTGACTCCTGTCACCTGACATTTTTAAGAGAACTGAAAATTAGTTATTAATTACAGGTACTGATCTTTCCAAACCTTTTTTTAAACTTCTTAGAAGCTATTTTAAGTCACCTCTCTCCCTCAATTTAGAGGCCAGGGGAGGTCCCTCTCAGCTCTCTTAATACCTTTCTCTGATTCTCACATTATTTGCATCTTCAGTAAGGGGCAGCTTCCTAGGTAATGGTTTGTCCCTTAAGAGCTTGCATTCTGTCTGCAGGAGGGATGGTTCCTTGCAGTCCCTGATCACAAGACCTTCAGTCAGCAAGATGGATGAAGAGCTCAGCACAGTATTAAACCAAATGCTGACTTCAGAACCTTTTTTTAAAGCTCTCAAGCAGGTAGCATCCTTGTAGATATTTACACAAAGTTTCATGAAGGAGAGCAAAACTGTGTAACCATGTTAAAGGAGTAATTAATGGATGCCAGACATCACCAACTACTGTCAAGGTTATGTAGATCACATAGCTATGTAACCCTAGGAAAGCAAGCCTGCAACCATTACATTAGTTAAATAAATGGGGTGCAAATCATTGCTAAAGAAGAGCTGCTGGTTCCTCAACAAATCCAGTGGCTACAGCAGTGCTTGGGCTGGGAAAGTGAGGCTTGCAGCAGTGTTCTGAATGAACAGGAATAAGAATGGATGTCATTAGCTCCACAGCTGATCAGTACCATAGCCATAGCAGACACCTTAATTGAAAGGCAGAAAAAAACCCACAAAACCCTGCATTGAAAAAACCACCTATCAGTAAATTCAATGGATGATGTTGGTATATCACTGAAATTGAAGTTAAAGCAAATAAAAGTATCTCCTGAGGAAATAAACATTCTCCTCTTCTTGTGGAGCCTATTAACAGTCCAGCTATCCTATTAAAAAAAGTGCTAAGACAACCAATTATTGAAAAGTAATGTCACTTGGACTGCTTGTACACTTCTCATTCTACTACCAATTACTACAGAGAACAGGTTATAGAAAGATCTTATAAAATTCAAATTGATTCATCTCTATGTACAAGAGACTTCTAGGAATAATAGATATAACCATGATTTATTACACTGTACAAAACTAGATTCAGAACAAGCAAGTGCAGAATATAGTACATGATTTATTTTTTTTCTGTACTTTACATATTATTTGTTAAACTTCATTGACAAACCCAGAACTTCCCTAATTTTTCCTTTACCTGCCTAAGCCAAGCAATGAATTTTGGTCTACAGGATAGAAGAAAATAGCTTCCTGGAGAATTTATCAACTGATTAACTTGGCAGAAAGTGCCTCAGCTCAGACTTTCAGTGTTTCCCATAACTTGTAAAGACTTGTCAAGTTAGAACCTCAGTTGGTAGTACAACATCCTGCCACAGTACCAGTCTAGAAAAAAGCAACTCCATTCTCATTAAGTTTCAATAATGTCTTCTTCTTAGAAGATGAATTAATCCGGTTGCATTTGTAGACATACCAAACAGTATAAGTGAAGGCTGTAGCTACCATTAAAAAAAAGAAAAATTACTTTCCAGTAGCCCCAGATCTGTCTCTTGAGTTATGCAGGATGTGCTGAGATAGGTTATATGTTTAATAAAGTCCTTAAGAAAAATAAATATTTTTGCATAATGTGTTGTACAAAGATTGGTTGATTTCCTTCATTCATAGCTTCAACAACAGATAAAACCACAGCTATATTTAATTCACTAGCTCACAATGATTAATGCCACCTTGGTAACTGATGTATTAAGAGTCCAATAGAATATTGGCCTATTCTTTATAATAGTGCAAATTACATGGAGGTGTTTTGAAAACAGTGGCTTAAAGAAAGAAGGATTAACAAAAAAACCCTCCTTTGGTCCCTGTAAGAGTTTCCATAAAATTTTCAAAACTCCCCCACATAATTTTAACCAACTATTAAGGCGTCAAAAGAATGGATTTAAAGTTGAGAATAAAATGGTCTTTCTTGGACTTGAAAAGAAGTCCACTGCAGATTTCCTGACAAAGAAATGTTCTTAATGTGTCTCCTTCTCCTCAGCTCTTTTCTGCACAAGAACAATACACTAAATAGACCTGTCTGATAATTTCTCCCATATCTCTTTTGTTTAAACTACAACAAAACATTAAATATATTGCACAAAAAGCATAACGTATCCTGCCTGACTCTTCACAAAAATGGCCACAAACACAGGAGAACAGCTACTGAACATCTCAAAATTTGAAGAGATCAATGAAATGCTGAGGAGATACTGGCATGAGACAGGTGTTTGGATCACTGGCTGTGCAGGGGTGTCCTGTATCCTGCAAAATGAAGGAGAAAAAAAAGTAAGTTGTCTTTTCATACCCACAATCTAGTTCCACTCCCAATTAAAAAAGTGCAAAAAATCATATATAGGCACATGCAACTACTTCCACTGTAAACAAACTGATAAGAACTTGCTCTAAAAATTCACCATATTTTTCTTTAACTGTTTTAGACTAAGTTGTGAAGAAAACAGGCCTTGCCAGTTTGACTGTGGTAGTGTAAGGTAGTTTCAATTTCAGAAAAAAAAAACCCTTTCTCCTCCTACCAGAAAGAGACCCAAGTCAGAGCACTTGAAAAAAGTTTCATACCTCTTATCCATTATTTTTTTCATAAGTGTAGTTTAAAAAAAAAAGGGCAACTGCTTTTTTGAACATAAATTATCTGTTTAATGAAAATCTGAAATCAACTACTACTTCAAGGGGGAAAATGAGCTCCTTGCTTTCAAAGTGAAGGGGAGGAGACACTTCCAAAAAACCTGAACAGCATGTTTGAAGTCCCAGTCATAAAAGTTTTTCTACCTTGCTTGTTTTTCTTCTTCCCCCAACATCTTTTTCTCCTCTTTCACTCCTTCCTTCTCCCCTCCTGAAAGCATTGCCTTAAAACAAAAGTTAGCACCCCGGCAAGTTAGGAATATAGAAGATGGACAGGATGGAAAGGCTTTGTTATTACAAATTCACTAAGCCTGCAGTGCTTTCTTTAATATTACAGAAACCTGGACTCAGCACAACTGTCTGATTATTTAAGATTCAAATTAGAAGTTCAGTTTTGCACCTTATTAGAATCTTACAAAGGAAGGAAATGCTAGAGGTGTAATGAGAAGAAGGTTCCAGACAGTTCAATGGTGAGGTTAAACACCTTGATCAATAATGTTGTAAGGCTCAGAAACCATCCTCCCCAGGTTTTAAGGGGTTCCTCTCCCTTTTCCACCAGTGTTGATTAATTCAACATGTGGGGCAAGAAAACTAGAGTAAATACATGGTAAAGAGATCACAGACCACTGCAGTCCTCATTTCTTTCATTTCCATAGGGGATGAAGTTACATGCAATTCAGTTAATAGAAGGAAAGAATCCGTAAGTGAAATTTTTTTCTCACTTGGAAGCTTACATAAGGAAAGTGTTGTCAAAGATGCCACATTCCCATCCAAAGTCTTTGCAACACCAAATTGCACTAGGTGAAACACATTCTAAATACTACTCAGCTTTTCCAATGAAAATAGTTACTCTATAGATATATTATCTGTATTTTTCCATTAAGTCTATACATGACTACATTAAAATATCGTGGTATCATCACCTCATCCTCCCATTTTTTTAATGATTGCTTTAACATCACCTGAGAACCAGTTGTTACATTCATGACACAGGGGAAAAACAAAAAGAGAGAACAGACAAATAGATTAGATCCCAGGTAAAACTGCCTAGTTGGGGAAGTTGCAGATGAGAAAGAACAGAAGACTAAGACCAGAAGTGTTAAATCTAACACCTTCATCTTGAGATGACATCTGCAAGGAAGAGATACACCACAACAGAAAACACTCTCAAAAGTAGTTGCTAATGAACTATCATCTTCTCTACCCTTTGCCATGTCAATGTCTTGTCATTACTTTCCTAGTTTCCAGGAAAAAAACACCATCAGAATTAGAATTCTGGGAAAGAAGCTAGGGTTTAGCCGCTTTTAGTTCCTATTTATACTCCTAAATATTTTAAGACAGAATTTGTAACATGCTATCTGCTTTGCTCTGCACATCATCATAAAAACGTTTTTGAAAGCTCTGCTCAGGCAGGTCCAATAAAAATCTCAGTAAGATCAGTTCTTGGAGTTTTTAGTTATTAAAAACAACAGAAACAGCAATTTTACAGTGGAAAAAAGTGATGAGGACTGAAAACAAGAATCATAGCTTTCCTGTAATTACAAGTATTCTTCCTTCTAAGAAAAATGTATTTCCCTTGAAATTACATTTAATAAATAGTGTTCAATTCATATTGATTGTCAATGTATCTACTTAAAAGCTAAACCAGAATTCTTTTAAATTAACAAGAGAATTCACCAGGAGGAGTGTTTACTGGCAAATGTAGTTGTTTTCCTCCTCAAATTTTATCATAGCTGGACATTAAGAAGCTCCCATAACAACTTTGGAGCTACAATCCTTTTCTGTATAATTATTTCCACCATTTCTTCATTCGGAAAGCAACTTTATAATTGCTTCTCCCCACTCTCCCAAGTCACATGCAGCCTGTTTTGGGAATTTCTTTTCAGAGAGACTCTTTCATAAAAGTATGTATGACTACAGCATTCCAAGTGGAGTAAAATCAGTTTTAGTACCTTTGCATTAAAGAAAGTTATCCGAGGTTCATGTTACTCTCTTTAGATTTAAGTACCAAATTAAATACATCAGGGAGTGCAGAGAAACCTATTTCTTAGCAAAATCTGGCTGATCTCACTGACACCATGCACCTAGGTTCATTAGAAGTTGAATTATGGTCCCTAGTTTAAATGACATCAACAGGGAATACGGCAATATAAAAAACAAATCTGACAAAAAAACTGAGATGGAAAGTCACGATTACCTTATCTAATAGGGAAACAAGAAACAAAGTATTCCTGCTGCTAAGTTGATGTGGGGAAACAAAATCAAAACAGAGAGTATCAAACAATTAGAAATGAACACATTATTCACTTCGACGTTACAGAACAGTCAGCAATAAAAACAGATGAGACACACAGGAAATACCTTGAGTAACAAAGCAAGGTGGTAGTCCTTTGAAATCGTGAAGAAGGAAGCAGGAAGAAGAGCCGTAAAGTAAAAGAAGCAGAGTTAAGGTTTATTGAAGCTAAGGTTCATATGCCATTTAGAAAAACAGTCTTTTATTCTTGTGGCAGATCACAAGCAGCTGGAGAACTAAAACCAGCATAAGCCCCAAGAAGACTAAAACCAAGTGTGAAGCATATCACTTATGCAAAACAATTACACTAGTTTACATAAGGCCTGGATACTGAAAGAAGAAAAGGTATTTCAACTTCTGTGGCCATCTCTGGGATAACTGAAATGTACTACTGAGTAAGCTAAGAAAATAAAAGAACTGCTCACAATTGCAGTGATACCTAGTGGAACAGAAGAAATAGTATACACAAAAAGCATTCATAGAGGCATCAGTCAATAATTAGTTTGCCATGACTTTTACACTACTGAAATTATGTATTTTTCTCACTTTCATCATGGACAAATCCTTTACCAAGTCACTTCTGAAAGATAGTAATTCAATATTTAAGAGTTTCTTATAATCATTCCCTCCTTTAACACAGAAGAGTACAAGACGTTCTATTATATCACTGTACCTCCCAGAATGAATTTAGCAGTCTACTTCTTATTATATTTAATATTACTATGGTCACAGGTTTTAAACAAATACAGGAATACAAATGCTGCTTCCTGAAAAGCCCTTAAAGACTTGTTAAAAGTAACATTAAGATAGCATACAGTAAAGTGCAAACTTCCCTTACTTCAGCTGTTTGCTAATTCATTCAGTAGCCATCAGTCCCTTCTTTTACAAGGCCTTCTTTAAAAGCACACCAAATGCAGGACTGAAAGAATTTCCAGTGTGCAGCCCTCTCACAATTACATTATATTATCAATTTCATGAACTGATGAAAATTCATAGAATCATAGAATGGTTTGGGTTAGATCTACTCCAACCCTTAGCTTATATAATTTCCCTAAGTAGTCTCATGTTTATTCATCCCTTCTCTGTCTCTCAGAAGAATTTCTGGAGAGTAGTCACATTCCTTTTTACCTTTAACACAGCTAAGTTAAATTAACCTCTGCTAGTCTTCATGCCCTGATCACTTAAGTACTTTTTCCTCTGCAACTATTACAATGTTTTGCTTTGTTCTTGAATGAGGGGAGGAAAAAAGGTGCAATACCAAGAAGTGTTCAGCTCACTTCCTGAAGTTCTTCTGAATGCCCTTGAAAGCAAAAGCTGCCCAATTTTTGAAGTGTACTATTAAAAGAAGAAACTAAATTTTTACATATTATAAACTATCTGAAGAATCCACTGCTTCCATTTGTTTCAAGATTCAAACACTTGCTACTTTTCTCTGTAAGTAACTGTGATTTCTCTTTTAAAATTTGGTTTTGGTGGGTGGTTTTTTGTTTTTTTTTTTTTTTTTTGCTATATGCCCAATGGAATTACGCAGAATAAAAGCTTCAGTTGAGAACAAAAATCTATACATTATAGATACAATTATATGTCAACCACTCATATACGTATTTAATTTAATAACCTGTCTAATCAAGTATGGTACTGAAGCTTGAATGAATTGTCAAAGCCTGATAACAGTTCCTCCTGATTAAGAAATATTCTCACCTAGCACAGAATTTTTCTAGAACTAATAAAGTACCTCCTGTCCCACAGCCCCCTGCTTTGCTTCTCATCTCTCTTTAGAAAGCTTGGGAAAGGACATAAATACAAGTGCCTGAAAAAGTAGAGCTATTTTTCCTCCCATATAACTCAGAGTCACTAGCACTACTTTACTCACATTGCCCTATGAACAGAAGGACTGTTTTTCAGACCAATGATTAACCTCTTAGCGTCCCTGCTGATACGGGTGCCAGTTGTGCAGAAATCAATTCGCTGAACAATCTATTTCAGCCTGATCAAACATTTATTTTAAGACAGGGACAAGGCTTAGATTCCAAGACCTAGAGAATGAAAACTGCAATGCAGGCTCACAGAATAATCAGGTTGAGAGGTGCCTAAGGAGGTCTCTAATCCAGCCTTCTGCTCAAAGCAGGGTAAACTCTAAGATCAGACCAGGCTTCTCTGAGCTTTATCCAGTCAGGTCTTGAAAACATCCAATGATGGAAACTGCACAACCTTTATGGTCAAACCATTCCCTTGCTTGGCTGTCCTCACGGCAGGCTCTTAGGTTCCTCCGAAGCAGTCTTCTCTAGCCTCTCCTCACAGGGCAAGTCCTCAAGCCTCCCTGATTATCTGACCCTCACCTGAACTCCATCCAGTTTATCAGTATCTTTTTTGTATTGGGGACCCCCAGCTCAGTGCAGTATCCCAGATGCAGTCTAATGACTGCAACTGAAAAGGGATAAGGCAGTCAGCACTGGAATGGTGATCTAGTAGGGACTGCCCATCAATCCAAACAAAGCACCTATAGAACTTACTGTGTTGTGTTTCAGTAAAAATACAAAACCACAAAATGAGTGCTATTATTCCAGTAGTAGATTGGAGTAGTCAAGGTAACAAGACATCTGCCTGCACAGGTTCACTGCCTCTTACCACGCGTGATCTCTGGAAACAGTTAAACATTTAATTCCAAACACATTTTAGTCATTCCTAATATTCATGTGCTATACTTTGAATTATACCAAGATCAGAATGAGAGAAATTTACTAGACAAAGCATTAACCCTTTACACAGCAAAGCCAGACAATCCAAACAAATCCAATACCAAAAATGCCCACCTGCATGCATGCTGCATGCTCACCTTTAAAATTTCCGCTTTCAAAGAAAAAACCAAACAACTTTACCCTACATACTGGGCAACATAATGAAGACTTATTCCACTGTAGTGAACAGTTCTTAGTCATTCTTGACACAGGTTCTTCAGCAAATGTCCAGGCTTCTTCAGCAAATGTCCAGGCTTTTCACAGCAGAAGCCAATTCTGACTACCTGCTTTCCTACTATTAATTTAGCAAAACATATTAGTATCTGGAAAGGCTCCTGTGATATCAAGAATACTCAACTTTAAGATAGCATCATTCAGTAACATGCTGCTTCTATGAAAGCTAGCTTAAAACAGCCTAGTTTTCTTCTATGGAAAACAAAAAAAGCCTCACACTGACATGCAACTCCTCTTAAAAATCACAGAAAGACGACACAAGTATTTTCCAAGATTTCTCAAACATTTATTGCTCTTTGCTGTCCACTTAGCACTACCCATATCTGGTCTTTGAGCTGCAAAATTAAGGATATCTTGCTAACTAGAAGGCCAAGTTACAGTGCAACACAAAGTAAAAGCAGGACTATGTGTTCACATGCAAGTTAAACATGAAAATGCCCTACAGAAATTAAAATCATCCTGTAAGACAGAATATGCTTCATGGGAAACATCAAAGTGCATTTTGAATGAAGCTTCAAACATTCCTCCAAGCTTCATAGGGGACAGAAGCAAGACTATAAAAATAGAGAGTTTTACACCAATGTGGTAGAAATACTATAGTAGCAAGTTCTCATCAGAGATATATTGGTTGCCATGCCATGATTAGAAAAAGGATGTCATAAAATGGCTAACTTCATACAAGTTCCTAACAACTTTGCATAAGATTAAATAGACAGAAGATACAGAGTACAACTCTTTCCACATTGCACTTTTCCTTGCAATTCTAAGTATTGAGGTTATCGGGTATCAAGAGATAAGAATGCTAGATAAAGAACAACTTTGGAATTTAATACTGATTTTATATGAAGTTTTATGTATTATCTGAAAGATAGACATTAGTTGTCCAATCACATTTCACATGAGAAAGCTGACAAGATGATCTTACTATTTCTTCCATTTCACATTACCAGTAGCTGTTTGAACTTATTTCTGATGATCTACTTCAAAGCTCTTACCTTCCAAAACAGAATACTACAGTGTCGACAGAAGTGCAAGGTGTCCCCATACTGTTCCTTTATTGGGTAATATTTCTGAAGTGCAAAGTACATCAGCTTCCAGTCAATGTGACCTTTCTCTGATGGAATCAAATGCCTACAAAACTGGACATAAAATTAATAGCTTTCTTTAAAATTGCTAAAGAAGTAGTCAAATCAGGTAAAGGACTGGGAAAAAAAAAAAGGTAGTTAAACTGAAGTTTTGTAACTGGAATTCTTTGAAATCAATAATCTGACATCATATATCTGCAAAGCAGTGAGAGAGATCTATCCACAAAACAAATGGAAGGTAAGACATTAAAAATAGGAGGGTGCATATTTGCCAAGAGAAAGTAGGCCATACAGAGCTGATCTAACTACTGTCTTGAAATTATTCTAATTATAGTCAAGAACCATATAACAAAAACAATCTTTAAAGCCCTAAGTAATTAATTTTATACTTTAAAAAAAAACACTCAGGAATGAGATTAAAAAAATAACTGCGCATTACAAATTGGTTTTCTGTTAATACAGTAACTATGGATTTAAATAATACTTTCTCTTTCATTTTACAAGTATATACATGATCATTTACATATGATCTTTCTAAAGGATAGAAGTAATCAGTGATTGATATACTTCTTGAGGACATAATCTCCATGTGAAGATTAGCTGATGCATGATGGCTATTTCTCTCCAATTTTAAACACAGCCAAGGTTTATTAAGTATGTATTTGTAAAAGGCTTTTGTTCCACTCAGTGTGGATTAATGCTAATACATTAAGGGCATTCTTCATTCAGAAGACAGCTCCTAGATGGGGAGAATAGCACTGCCTTTCTGATTTCAGCTACACTTTGCTTCGTTTCATAATAGCTTCCCTGTGTAGAGTTCTCAGTTTTTTTCCAAAAGTGCTCTTCAGATATCAAGTATGTTTTTGTGGTTGTTTCAATGGTTCAACAAATATACTGCAGAGGACAGGAAAAACAACCTAACATGATTCTGTAGCTTATTAAGGTAGGACACTTTTAAACAGAAAAAGCAGAATTTTATATTGAAAAATAAGTAAAATCATTAGATTTCTATCATTAATAACCTAATAAGAAATTGAAATGATCATTTTGGAATGCATTGGAAACACTGTGTACAAGTGTCCTTTATAAGGCACAGGGCTAGCTGATTCTACCAAAATGGTTAAGTGATCTTTTTCCCAGCATTACCTTAGTATTACAGCTTCCTCTCCAACCAGTTTTGTCACCATTCAATAGAGCTTACCTCATCTAGCCTCAAAATCCACTCAACTGCTACATTAAGATTAAACTTCTTATCCTTGTGACTTTACCTTGCATTCTTCTGAGCTGCTTCTGGAGGAGGGGTCTGCAGTCTGCCTTTGTCTGTCTATATTCTCCGTGAAGTTAATTCTAAAGCCTTTCATCTCACCAAAATTCTTATTTGGGTCAACTGCACATGAGTTAATTGAGTTTCACTTCTACCTTTTCTGTTACAATAATACTTAATCTGGCAGTCACTGACCAAATGGTACCACTTCAACCTGTCAGATTTAAGAATGCATATTTTTACTTCCTCCAGTCTGGAATGTACTAGGTTTTTAAATTTCTTCCTCCAGCTCTGATGAGGTAACTTCTATTTGCATAGCTTTATGTTCACCTAGTCCCAGCATATATTACTGTCAGAAAATGGAGACAGTTCTGGAGGCATTCCTAGATTACTTTGATGCTTTTTGTGAGGAAACAACAGAAGAGTACCATTTCTCTTTTTGTTCTTAATTTCAAGATCTCAAGCATTTGTTCTATTGCTTTTTCAAAAATCCAATTTTGGCTTCACTAGACTGTTCACGTAGCCTAAAAGTTTGAGCAATCTGTCTGCCTACCTTGGTTTGTAAAACAAGTTCTACTTTGGGTATTAAAATTAGAAACTGAATACAATTTTTAGTATGAAACAAGCCCCCCAGAAGACAACATTTTCACTACTACTGCACACTGTCATATTTTTATCTCAGAAAGGGTGAGTTCACACTTCATTATTAGTATAACATATCACAAAGATGAAGGCCACATTTATGCAAATGATAGAGTTTATTACCTGCTTTTCTGCAAAATGGTACTGGCAGAGTTTTTTCCACAACTGTCTGTCTTCACTGAGCATGTATAAAGTTGGGGTCACTTGACCCAGAGTAATAATGTCCCAGCCATCAGAGAACCTATATAAGATGTTATTCAGCATATGGAGAGGGAGATCGCTAAGCGTAAGACCATTGTTGACTTGCTGGAAATAAGAGTTGAAGACTTTTAACCACAAAAACTTGACAGTGTAAGGTACAAATAAGATTCTTACTTTAGAGATATCTCAGGTCTCAGTTTAGTTTGTACAAAACCATTGAGTAATATCTATGTTAATTCTGTGATACTTTGACTACTTGGCTACTGTTATTCTCTAACTGCTGTTGTTGAAAACTTAAATGACTACAGGTACAGAAGGAGCTACAGACTGTAGCTTTATAACTTATAGCTTTCCTACTGTTAAAATAAACATATCCTAAATTCTTTATTTAAATTTCAAATAATTTTAAAACACCTCTGTTCTCATAAAATAATTCAAGAGTATACAGTCTTGAAAACTATAATATATTCAGCTCCACCTTTCAGAGAAGTGTGCTAAAGCCCTAACTATAATAAAGGTATGAACCATTTATTCATAATTTGTAAGATAACTACAGTTTCTCAATTTTTATTAAGAAACAGAGCACATGTCAATTTGCCTTATGACAACTAGAGTACAGAATGTAGGACTGAAGAGCAAAAAAACAGAATGAAAACATTATGAAAGTCAGAGGCAGAAGAGAATAGGTTCATTTCTGAAGTCTGGAGATAGTTCCTGTCATACATAAATGAGGAATTCTGCAGGGGGTGACATATCAGAGCACTGAAAAAGTTTTCATTGAGAGTATACACCCCTGCTGAACTTTCTCTTTAACAGGGTAACCTACAGCACAACTTGTACATGACTGAATCTGGAGCCTATGCTGCCAGGTGGCACAAAGCCCGACACGACAGGGCTGGAGGCAGTGTCCCAGCTGGCGAGGGAAGGAGTGTGGGCAACTGCTGGCCCCAACTAGTAGAGCTGCCCAGTCATAAGGCACTGGCAGCACAGCAGCTGTACTCCAGCAGGCTCTCATTTATGTCAGTTTATTTCGCAACCATTCATCTCACTTATAGACTAGACTTTCCATAGTATCATCTATTATAAACATCTCTGGGACTATCATTCTGTTCAGGAATGTGAGCATTACAGATGCAAAATTTCTCATTGGTTATTTCAACTAACGTATAACAGCTCAGATGGGAAGTGGGACACTGGAAATAAACAAACACAGCAACTGCAGTGTCTCAAAACTGTCTATGCTGTGGTTGCTTGGCATATGAAAACTTCTGAGATTGGGTTCCCCATTTCTCCTTTCTATTCCAAAATTAGCTGGTTTTCTCAGATACCCAGCACACACAATAAGGACAATTTCAACATTTCTTGGCTGAAAGCAAACAGATGAAACAGCTGTATGACTTTACTGTGAGCAATATCTTGCAGCATTTCTTCCTCCAGGAGTAACCCAGACAGGTTAAAAAGACTGCCTGCTTATCATCAGACGTTTCCACTATAAAAACCTGGAACAGTGCATACCACATGCTTTGAACAAAGTCACATGATCAGAATCCAGATGCTGAAATCATTATCCTTTTTTTGCAAAAAGCAACTGTGCTAATGAATAAAGCTGTAAAATTGCTACGTGAATGTTTTATTTCTGTTTTCTTGACCCACCTCCGAGATTCCTTTTAGATTTTTATTTCTTCAGTAGTAGAAGATTTACTTTTGAATTAAAAATTGGTATTTTTTCCATCTCTATCTGGCAATGTAGAGACAAACATTCTGAAATTTCTTTGGGTGAATAAAACTATTACATCTATACATCTCTACCACAAACCAACAGTACAGGCACTGTAGCAGTCCTCATTAGAAAAGAGCTATTGAAACATTAGAAAATTAAGTTGATTCCGTTTCATTACTTTCATATTACTTCTCTAAAAAAAAGAAAACAAGTAAAACTGTTTAAGATGCATTTGAAACTTTGTTCACAAAGTTTACAAATCATAAACCAACATTCAATATAATTGCCCTCCCTCAATTACTTTTTTAGCATGATTTAATAATATACCTTGTTCATCTGAAGGTTTTTTAGTTGTTGTTGCCACAGAAGGATAGTTTCTAATCGGCAAATCCAAATATTGATGTTCCCTACCAACACAGATTTTCCTACTCCCCTAATCAGTATACAGAGAGTAGAACTCAGATCCTGTAGAAGATCTTTGATTAATCGTGGATTATATTGGTCTTCCATGACTGGAAAACAAAACAAACCAAACAGAATTTTGGTTAACTCAGTTAACCAAGCTAATGCAGTTAGCTCAAGCTAATCAACACTTTAGATGAACTAATTACAACTGAACTGTGTACAAATAGCTGCCCTAATTCCCCACCATGACATTTATTAATGCTGCTCCTTAAGTGCAAGATCAATAATTAACAGTATCACAGGCAAATTTGATGTAACATTTCATGCTATGCATTTAATAAACTTAATGCTGAACAACTAGTTATAAATCCAATTTATTCTGTTCAAAGCTGATAGTATTACATCTCCATTTAGTCTGGTTACCAGAAATTTTTTTTTCCAATATTATTTAATAGCTTTTTTTGAAATAAACAATGAAGAAAAACAGTTATGTACTTTAAATCTCAGTACATCATGCAAACAGAAAACCAAACGTTACTAATCTAAAAGCTTTCACATTTCATAAAGACTATAATTTAATAGTAACCAATAGTTTCTGAATAGAATCTAATTGCCATTTAACTTCACCAATCTCTTTCAACAAATTTGATTCAATAATCAAGAGAAAACAACTTATTGCAACTGTGGGATGGGAAGTATGAAACCTTTCACTAATTAAATATGCTATTGCTTTGCCTTACAATGTAAAAATGGTAATAAAGCTAACAAAAAACCCCCACAATCAACTGATGCTTAGTCAGAGCGATTAAATCTGAACAAGCAGAATATAAAACCTTAGGTCTTACCCTTCCGCACAATTTTGTCCAAAATGTTAAAGTAGTTCTTCTGTGCTGCACCGCTCAGTGAAGTTAACTGGGATTTTGCAATTAACTGCAGAAGCTAGGACAAAGAATTAAAACTCAGAAGAACAACAGAAGTAAAGGATGGTTTCCAATACACACTTTCAGTACATACATTCACCTACAACAGCCTAGAGCACTGCAACCATACTTCATGAAAACATAACTACAGAGTTCAGAAAATGAAACAAGACAAACACGGAAAGCTTTAGGCATTCCCGCTGCCATCCCATGAACAACTCATGAAGCAATGTACATTTTCAAAATACTCTACAAATACAAGTGTTTATCTCTGTGATAGAGCACATGACATAATGGTCTTCATAAGCTGTAACAAAACAATGGAGGGAGTCTGTTTTGGACGCTCACAAATAGGAATGTAGTCTTTGATGTGGCTGGGTCCTGAATGCCCTGACAGATTTGGTGGCCAGGAACATCACTCTGAACTGATACCAACTACCAGACTTCCAATTTCTGAGTGAAAATATCATACTGGTCAAACCAAGGTGTGTGATAGACTTAGTGCACTACTTTCTGCTGATGGAGAAGAAATGCAGTATTTTACTTAAACTGAGGAAAAAAATTCTGTGTTACTCCCACATTCAGGACCCTGGTAGAAGAAACCACCATAATCTAATAATGAGTAGTATACATACTATATTAGTAACTTTCCCTTAACTATATAGTAAGGATCTCTTAGCTCTCCACACGTTTCTCTGTGGAACCACTGTGAACAGAAGAGTGGTGAGAACAGTGGGAATAGTCTAGGGGAAAGTAACCAGAATAGCTGAAGTTCTTGCTGCACATGAATGCCAAGCTATAGCTACTAGAGGCAGCCCTCGCTCCATTCTGACACCTTTGCTTTTACATTTTAGATTCAGTTTTGTAGCTGATAAGGCCCACCGTGTCTTCAACAAAAAATGGTCTTATATTTCATACTAAAAGAGAGACTTCGATGTTACGACAGCATTGCAATGTTTTGAAAAGCTTTGTGCCACACTTCTATTGTGATTCATAATGCTGAGTTCCGAACAAGTGTTCTCAAGACATGGGGAAGGGAAAGCAGGGAGCAGAAACCAGCATGTCCTACAGAGTGCTCGAAAGACTAACCTGCAGAGCTGTGCTTTGTAGGACAGCATCAACTATTGACACAAAGGGTGAACAAAGACTAAGCCTGCCAAAATTTATTTTGTATCTTCATTTCTAAAACTGATTTGACACTACACTCAACATTCATTTTCCTTTGGAGGAAGAGAAAATACACCTGTTCTCTCCCTAATAATGTTCCTTCTGGCTTCTCTGCATGATCCCTGAAAAAACATGTGCTATGAAAGGAGGAAATAATTCTCCTGATGTATTTAAATACAAGAAATCTATTTATAGAGTTTTTGAGACTAGATATCAGGACCTCTTTCCTGGCATTTTCAAAGCCTTTTAGTTTGATTAATAATTTAGAGCACACCTAGAGGTCTCTGGCAGTTTGCCAATTCAAGCAAGTATGTACATTTCTCTTGATTAATTTAAAAAAATTCAGTTATGTCACTCAGACTAGAGATCAAAGAAAAAAATTTCACCTGGCTGATTTATTGAAGACTCCCATTTCAGTGAAGGTTAATATGCAAGGATTAAGGCAGTTTTAGCAGGTGCATGAGTACAAGCATCTGACACATGAGTTCAGTCTTACCAATACATGCATAGCCATGGCTTACGTTGTCTACTAGAGATTATAACTTTGAATGGATCAACCGTTTATTCAAATAGAAACATTTTGAAAAAAAAAAAAAGACCATATCAAACTCAATGTATCAGATGTTTAACAGCTAAGAAATGATCATTATACTACAGCACAAACAAGTACAGGAAAACAGCACCTCCCCCAACTGCCCACCCTAAAAGGGTCCTGGGCAGACATCTATATTAAATTTTAATAATGATTGAGAGGTTTTTAGTTAGTTAGAGAATCAAAATGGATCATCTTGGTGGTCTGGGATCAAAGAAGAGCTATCTACTAGGGCTTGGTATTTAAAAAGAAGTCTTCTTGATTTATATCTTGCTATCTTTAAATGCAAGAAGCAGAACAACACACATAAAAGTAATCATCATTGTATTCATGCATAACTAAGAATAATTCTTAGAGGAGAAGATATAGGAACGGCTGCACTGCATTAAATGAGATGTACACGAAACATCTCCACCATTAGAAACTTCAGGGAAGTAAATAAGAACTTGTATAAAGCAGATAAGTATGGGATGACCTGCTTCTTAAAAGTCTCAGTTGCAGACTGGGTTAAAACCTGATAGAGCAGATTCAACATCCTTTTAAAAAACTTGTTGCAACTTCACATATTACTGACATCCACACAGAAGTTTTAATTTGTTAGATACACCACCACAAATGTTTCTCAAGTCAGCAAGTTCTATGGCTACAGAATGAGCAGCAGCTGTCATTCATATTCATCATGTTTATTAGCAGCTCAGTAACTTTTAAGGTCTTAGATGTACAGTTTCTGTACTTGTTGATAAAAGTCAGCTTGCCTCTATCACCTCAGAGGAGCTGATGCAAGGGTATGATTATAATTTTTGTAACTGTAAAACAACTCTAAAATTTTAAAAATTTCAAATAAATTCTAAAATGTTAAAATGATTTTGGAAGTGTGCTTCCTATTCTAAATCCACCCTAATTTCTTAGGGTCTACCATTACTATAGTAACAGTTTGGATCACAAAGCCAAATTTCTGAATTTTAAAGTATTGCTCCTTTCTCAACAATCTTAAGCCTGGCTAACTAAACCAGCCATTTTATTTTCTTTGGCAAACAGAAGAGAAACTGGTCAATGTGCTTATCTTAGACTTTGCACTTTGTTCCGATCAACTGTTTTGAGCAACCCAGCTTAGGCACCGCAGCATCTAAAAAACATGTAAAATTCTAGTTCTGGATTCATTCTGCCTGCTCACCATTCAAGTGAGGCACTCAAGGTTGACACCATTTATAACACAAATCACCTTTTTTTAGATGCTTTTTTTTCTTCCTACTGTTTGAGGCTGAAAAGTCTTGGGAAAGATCAAGGTTCTTGTTTCTGCTCTCAAAACAGCATTAAAAAGCAATGTTCTAAACCACAATGCATATATATACAAAAAAAATCTACAAAGAGAATAAAACAGGCAAGTACCCTAACCACTTGCCTTGAAGCAAATCCTTTTTGCTTTGTTTCCTTTGGTCCCGCATATCTTGTTTTTCTGGAAGTATAATACACTCTCTCAGCTTCCCAAGGATGGGTAGAATGTGTTTTCTCTCCAAATACTCCACGGCCTCGTGGTAAGGGTGTTCTCCTGGTATGTTTATTTAATTTGATTTGTGACTTTGAGTTCTGGATGCATTCCAACTACATTATTTGTGAACAGTCTCACCACTGAACTGAACTCTAGTCCTGATATGTCTCACATTTGAGCTTCTCTAGGAGTTGGGACAAGCACTTTACTATCTCAAGTTAGATGACAAAAAAAACCCCAACAACTTAGGGCTAGAGAAAGATCAATACCTGCCAGAACAGGTATTTCCAATTAGGCAGCTGGTTAGGCATTGAGAAATTAAGGCATAACATTATGTGGCTCCCTAAAGTAAAACTTACATAGTTTTGGAAAACAGGCAGATAGCACCATTGTCCAGAACTTACAAGTTCCATGCACTCAATTCTCAACTTAAGACTAGACATGACCCAGGGAAGCTAACATAGTGAGAAAGGGACTTTCCAAGGAATCATGAGATTAGTATATCATAACTGTTTCTATAAATTTCATTCACTACGTTATTTGTAAAAGACAACAACTTGCAATAAAACTAATTTCTGGAAGAAAAAAAAAAAAGGAAGACTGAAGAAGCTGCGGTCTCAGGTTTTAAGGTATGTTAACAAAGGTAAAAGCATATATATCTTGTCCTAGATTAAAAAAGCGTGCAATGAATCACAGGACTGTTAAGAAGCTGCAGAAGAAACAAAAACTGCAGAATAATTACACATCAAATATTCTTCTGGAAATTGCTATTTTAAGCATATTTAAGATGTAGTAAATTATATTTAAGATGTATTACACTTTGCTATTTTTGCTTGTATAGGAATTATTTTGCCTTTAAAGAGAGTTCACTACCCAGACTGATGAACAACAACTGAAACTACCATCAGTGTTTCCCTGTAAATACATAGCATACTGGCCATCACCATCCTCCTCAAGCTATAGGCTTTCATAGAGCAACATAACGAGTTTTCACCAAAGAAAAATTACTCAGTTTAAAGTTGCTTCATGCAGTATAAATTACATATGAACAGGATATTTATACGGTCACAAATCATCAGCTGTTCAGTGCAAAATGATTTCTTTTGTACACACAGGCATATCGGGAAATGTATTTTTAAAATATGCATATAAAAATAAAGAGCTTACTTTGACTACGTAATTGAACCTTCTGATGTCCTGAATTGCACTTGAAAAGTCTAAGCGGTTAAAAGCTTCTCCCAAAGTGCAATAGCCATGTCTCTGAGAAGAAGAATAAACACACTTTAAATGGAAAGAAACAAAGATAAAATTGAGGAAAACATTCTGCCATTCAACGGATCCTTATGTATACCATGCTCGCTGGAAGTATAATGTATCTGGACTGAAGATTTATTTGATTTCTTTTAACAAATGAAACCAGATATGCTATTTGGAACTAACAAGTACGTAGGAAATAATACTTGACAGGAAAGCCTTTAAATTCATACTAATCATACAATCTGTAATCACTGGTATTTGAGTGTCCTGGGATTCTACTCCGCTATTGCATGGCCACAATGCTGGCACTCATGGCTACCACACTCCCCAATTGCCTCAGCACAAGGTAGAGCTTGTTTGTACAGCAGTCTGAGCTTACAAGCATAAGCATTAACTGAGTTTATGTTCATATTTGAGGGTAAGAACAGAGCTACTTGCTCCTGGGACTGGAAGAACAAATGGTCTCAACATACAGAATTTATTTTCTGGGTGCTAGAAGTTTAGGCACAATTGTTCTTGGGTACCAAGAGCAAGAGCAATTGCATTTTCTTTTGGTACTTCTGCACAGGTGTCTTAAGGTAAAAAATGGAAGTTTCAGAGGCTGTTGTGAACTACTTAAGGTGGTAGTAGCAGCCCAAAATGACATGCGATCACATAAGCTGAGTAAATTTAGAGCCACAAAGCCACACAGGAGCCTTGGAGCAAATATAATGAGGCCAGAAAAACCCTACAACTGGTGAAAGCGATACTTGCAGAGCAGTGTGCTAGTATGGCTTATCAGCCCGGGGACGGAGGGGGATAAATAATTATTTGAAGTTCATTCCTAGACAGACTTCCTCAGTGAATTACGTGATGGTGAAAAGATGGCAGTACAACTTAACGTTCTGTTCTGCAACCCAATGAAACCTTACCCTGGATGTACCCCACTGGGACATGAAACAGTTAACTATTCACTGCAGAGTGGTAGCAATTACTGCCTATTGGTTAATGACTGAATTCAGGATTGTACTGCTTGCTCATCCAGTTAACATACCTGAGATCCAAGCACACTGCACACTTCACAATATGCACAATTTGGTTGGCTAATAGCAGTGAATTAACACTTACAGGCAACAGAACTTTTGTTGAAATTTAAATATTTGAGGCTCTTCTCTGGCTAAGCTGTTATCAAAAGGCCATGGTTAAATACATTAACGTGAGAGGTACATTTCCTTAAACAGCTGGAAGCAGATTTCTATGAAGCTTCAACTCTATCTTTCCCAATGAACCATCATGATAAAATTACTCAAAGAGCATCTCCTACTTCATTTCAGCTATACACCTGCACTTGTTTTGGTTTTCTTTATTTTCAGTGCTCTCCCACAGCATGTTTCACACATTTCTTATCAAGACATTCCTACTCTTGTCATTTTGCCCCCAAATTCAGTATTCAGTTTGGAAAAAAGCTTCCTAGTTGCGAGACAGCCATTTTGAAATCAAGTAAGATTACAACCTGTAAGGACAACTAAAGACTCTGTAAATTATGTTTTAGATTAGCTTAAATTGTTGCTCTGAATTTTTTTGTTCAAGTATGCTTATTCCTTGCTACTTTTTCATTCTGCTACTTAACGTCTAGCTTTTTATGCTAAAGTTTTCAATTTATACAAGGAATTATTTGAAAAAGATTAGTGATTAATTCTAACCATCCCTGTTTTGTTTTTTCTATTTTTTTATTTTTTATTTTTTAAACAGGAATGGTGAATGGTCCATTACTGGAAGACAACAGCAGTCACAAGAATAAGCTAATTTGTACACCAAAATATTTTGTCCACTCTGAATGGACAAGAAACCCGAGCAAATAATCATACATCACTAGTACACCAACTCCTGCACAAGTCGGGGTGTGTGTGTGGGGGGGAATAATCTCAACATACAGGTTACGAAGGATAGCAATGAGTGACTTTAGGCAATTTGTGTTTTGGCCTGAAGGTAGTTTGAAAACTCAGCTTAACAACCTTACCATTCAAAACACCATAATGACTGGTGACAGCCTGTCACCCCCCCTTCCTTCTTACCCTAAATTTGAGATGGCACAAAGGGAAAGAGCATGCTTGAGACTTTTGCAGACCAATGTAAGTAACTACATCTATCACAGATGAAGATAAAACTGGGAAAGAGGGCTATGAATCCAGTAAAAGTCTTTGTAATACCCTTCAGGTGTAGAAGGGCAGCCTCCAGGTCCTTGGCCTGCAAGGTGAAGTCCTCCAGTGTCTCCTCTATGTAAGATCTCTCCACAACACCATGTTCTTCCCAAGTACAGAGCTCTTTATGGTCTCTCAGCTCTAAAATGCAAAGCCAACTTTTGCTTGCATGGCTAGGGTCATCACACTCACCTCCTTCCCTCTCTCCTGGCTGGCGTTACTGTGTGGTTGACAGACATCCTTACAGGTCTCCAAGTTTCACCCATCCCAGAAAACCACAGGAATCAACACACGAATGAAACTCAAACTTCAAGACAGTTTATCTGTACATATGATGGATGTATTTGAACTCTTGACTTTCCGAGAGGTCATTCCAAGATCTTTCATGTTCTTTTCACAGTTGCATGATACAGTTTGTATCCCAAACTGAAAGCATCTGGACTTTGTGGAATACAAAGGTCCTCTTTGTAAAGTTTGAAACTGAAGTTTTACTTACTTATATTCAAATTTACACCAAGATTCCAAAATACCAGGTAGCTGCCTGCAGACACCTCCTTTGAAGACATTACTCTGGTTTTGCAAATACTTTCAATTTTAGTTCAAAGGCACACAGTACAGATAGAGACAGATGGGCTTGGAAAAGTAGTGGAAAACTGTATGTCCATCCTTGCAAGTTCCCACATCTCTACCACAATAAGCCATGTAAAGTCACTTTGGTAGCTGCCTTTGCCTCACCACGTACAGGTGTACTGTTGCCAATGAAGAGAGAGTTGAACATAACCCCTAAGACCACAGAGCACAAATGCATTTTTTTTTAATATACTATTTGTCAGTTAAGAAGCACAAATATTGTAGGAATTGACACACAGCATGCAGGACTTACTTCCCTGGTGCTTTCTTTATGAACATAAATCCACTTTTCACGATAAAAACCTAAAATAAAATCAAAATATAAGCATTTTTAGGCTTCCACTTCAGGTAATGCCTTCTAGAAAGAAACTGAACAAAACAGACCGTCCTCAATAAAATGCTTCATAAAATAGGATAGATGGTAGAACAGTTTTAATGAAGTAAGTTTATAAAGGCTGAAAAGGTTGACTACAAATTTTCAGAAGTTATGTACTTCAAAAAAATAGAGGAAAAAAAGCTAAATAATTTTATAAATCAAACACAAGAGTTGGCACACAATTGGCAGATATAGCACAACTTTTGTCAACTGTGTACCAACAGTCAATTTCTCCTACAAACCCCCTGATCTTTTTTAATCCAACAGGCTCCTTAGCACTTAACACAGGAAAGTACAGAAATGAGCAACCTTTTTGTTCCTGACCACTCTACCCTTCTAATCGATTTTCTTCTGTAAAGGTGCCTGCTCCACATCCAACTTGGTTCAAGTAGTTGCAGAATACTGCAGGGAAGTCCATTATACAAGACTAATAAAGGCAACTAGGCAGACCTTCAGTTTTCAGCAGTCTAGTATGTTGTCAAATGAAAGCATGCTCTTACATATAGCCACTTGAATCTTTTGAAATCTTCAAGCTCAGACAAGCCTAAGGAAACTTCCAGCTTTCTGCAAGGCCATTTCTTACAATTTTAGGAATATACAAACAATGGAGATAATTTCAATATCAAAGCACTAGAAACGCCAAAAAGTTGCTAATCAACTTACCTTTTTTACCTATTCTACCAAATTTTCTACTTCAATAAGTTTATTTGCTGACATACACATTTGCAGTCCAAAGTACAGGTGACCTTTTAAAAATGAGAACTGTCAAAATGGCTTTCATTTTTTAATTTAAAAAAAGGGACTTTTCTTCAAGAAATTCACTGATAGACTGATAAAGTCTTTACCAAGAGCTAGAGGTATTATGACAAAATAGATTTATTTATGAACTGATTCTGGAGTTGTATCACTAATCAGAATTTGAATTAAGCAAAAATAAAACAGCTGCTTTGGTAAGCAGAACCTTCCATAAGCATCCAGAAGAATTTAATCTAAAACCAGTCCACAAAACAAAACAGTGGTTTGTATCAGAAGACATTCATTATTCAGGAATTACTATTCTTCAATGAATTACCTTTGGATCTTCGGGGAAGGAAAAAAATAATCAAAATCACACACATTAGATGATCTATGCCACAGTTCAATTAAGATGTATCACTTCTGACACCAGAGTTTGTTGCCAATACGGAAGTAAACATAACTCATATTCATCCATAGATCAGACTTCTAAATGAATGGCAATTATAACAACATTTTGCTGAACCTACAACAGTCTTCTAAAATAAATGAAAAAAACCCAGCCTTACATTGTGAATCTGTGTTATTCCTAAAATGATCTTTTTTCCTTTTCTTGGCTGCAAACTCACAATCTTCAGTACTGAATATTTCTTCATCCTCATCATCACCAGTTATGATGCTGAAATAAACACATCTAATTAGAACAGCAGTGATTAAATATTTAAAGGTGCATACAGCTTATAATTCTCTGCATTAAAGTCTGCCAGCTGGAAAAAAAAACCCCAACATATTTTTAATGATGTTTCCAAGTTTAACTGTAGGACTATTTTATTTCCCCATTATTAGTCTTTGACAAGAAAGCTGTATACAAAACTCCTCCCATTCATTACTATTTTGTAATCTGAACTTGCTAGATGAATCTATTTATCAATGTCAGTTTGAACTTCAAACTACACCAGCAACAGCTGAACATTGTAAAACCAAAGGACACTAGTTTATTCAAAAATATTGGGCATTAAGTGACAAACCCAAATTATATTAGTCTATTGCTACTAGTTTATACCGTTAGTTTTGAGGCTTGAACCATCTATTAAGGAGGATGACTAAACAACACTGTAAAAGAAGCTTTGTTATTTTAGTTGCTCTAATCAGTAAACGCTAGCTCAGCTTAAAGGTACACAAGTTGAGAAGACTGAGAAATACAAAAGTTGTTTTCATCTTAGGTTTAAATCCTGAAAAAAGCTAACATACCTCTGCATTCAGATAGAGCTCAATCCAAGGTGAGGGCCTTAGTTCATGTCTTACCATTTTTAAAGCAGAGGATAAAGACCCAACAACTTCAATATTCTATGCAACATTGCGAAATATTTTATCTGGTCAAACAGCAGAAGAATTTGGAGAAAAGGAACTGGGAACTGACAAATGCAGAACATCAACACCGACAAGTTACTTTGATTAGATAACATTCCAATCCATCAGGTTTTTTTCCCCAAAGCTATCATAAAGGAAATATCTTTTTAAGCTCACTAACATTATTAATTTAATTATGTTATAGCATACCAACTGCATCGCCACATCATGTGAGAAATTACTGCAGAATCTGAAAAGTTGCTGCAGAATCAGAAATAGAGCCCAATGCTCCCGGACCTAGCTTTATCATCCTAACAACAGACAGAAGACTAGAGAGATAAGGGCCTGATACTCTGCAACATAATTCGGGCAGAACAGAAACACACCCATTCCTATTGACCCAGTGCAATGGGGAGAGGAGGGGAGGCAGCATTCCTGAAGACCTGCTGTAGAAAAAGGAAGGTAAGTCTGGCAGGATTCCTTCTTTTGTTCCTGGAGAGGAAGTGTCCCTAGAAAGCAATTTAGATCAGTAACATACCTGAAGTGATTTAAAGCCCACCCCTGCCCCCCCAATAGTATACACTTCCTCAAGCATCAGATAAACAAGCAATGCAGCTTAAGTGCAGTCAATTAACACAAGGAATTGCAAAGATGAAGAAGGCTATTTCAAACACCTTTGTCTGACATTCAAATTCACCTGTGACATTCCTGGAATTCTCCATGTCATTTTAGCAAAAAGACTAATTTCGCTGTTATCTCTGAGGATCTTCTCATATGAGGCTTTATTTCTTCATGTTCTGTCCCACTTCATGTAGAGACTCTTTCCCTACTTATTTGTAACCATCACCATTCTTTTTGACAAACTTTAAGTCTCTTACCAAGAATGGAAGCAAGAGTCCTACAGACATCAGAAGAATGGGACAGAAATACAGGCACTTCCCCAGACACTGTTAGCCTTCCTTCCAGAAATCTGGAAAGCTGCTTGATGAGTAACAAAGCTGCTCCACCATTTCCAAAAGCAACCCCTGCCTGCCTCCCTTCCCCCCCAACCTCCAAGCTAAGATACAAGAAATCAAATCAAGTGCATATGGTGTAACAGAAGCCTTAATTTAGCATTTTTACCATAATACTACACACAACATCTGAGTGTACCTGGAAGGATTTAAATACATACACAATACTGCCAATTTACAGCTATTCTAACCTTCTTGTCTTGATGATGCACTTCTTCATACAAAATTATTCTAAAGCTTCTAAAAAGCAAAGTACCTGGTGTCCTTAGAATTACAATACCCTACATAAAGCATGCAAGAATTTCAGCTTTTTCAAAAAAGTAATTTCATAGCAGTATTTAAATAACCTCTTGGGTATGACACTTAAAATGCTGGAAAACTTGACTATCCAAGTCAAGGGCTATCCAAGCTCCAACTATTCTTCTTCATCCCCTTGCTTCTTTTCTCATGGAGGAAGGAATGCCCTTGAGTCATGCAATTACCTACAGAGACACACTAAGTGTTTTAGAAGAGGCTCAAAGCCATTTACAGCTTGACCATGCTTGGAAAATCCTGAGTTCAGTGCCTGCACCAAATAACATTACAATGTATTGGTCAAATGCCAAAATTATCTAAGACTAGACTCAAATCCAAGGACTTCTATCCAGTGCCAAAAACACATTTGTGAACACCGTATCTCACGGAATTAGACAAGAGGCACTGTAGGCTCTAATGACTACCCTGCCAGTGCAAGTAGTTCACATGAGCCTAACACACAAAAAAAAGCAATACCACCATCATGAAAAATCTTACTAGATTAGTCTGATTCTCTTTCTTTTACCTCAAAAAGAAAGCACAAGACAGCTTTACTCCTAAGTTGCAGGCTATTGAGAGATCTTTACATACAATTCTGTAAGGCAGTACTGTTCTCTCTCTCCCACCAAGCTTCAAGGACACAGTGCCATGGCAGTGGAAATACGTATCTGTGCTAGAATTTATAGGTACAAATGGCAGGTAGCTGTGGCCAGCATTCAGCCCACAGAGCTTGAATAAGCACTGCCTCAACCACCTTTCCAGCTACTGTATACCTTGAATACAAGGCACTTTTCACTTATATAATAATATTAATTATCCAAATAAGTAAGAGCTACAGAACTGAGGGTCTCATTTTTTCCATCTTAGTTTCCATAAATGGAACTAATTTTAAGTGCAACTATTCAAGAATTATTCCAAATCATTTAAATTGTTCCTGCACAAGTGATTATGTTTGTTCAAGCATGGTTATCATTAGGTCCCCCATTTTTGACTAATTCATCAACTGGATTCACCACCAGCATTAGATGACTAATCGAATAAGGTAAAAAGTTCTATTTTAATAAAAACATATTCTTCAATTTAAGTTATTTACATGTCTTGAAGGTTTATTTATGAATCTGTTTGTGATTAAATCTTTTTAATTTCTGTAGAGAAAGTATTTGTAATGGATAAGAGACAAAGTTTGTCAAGTAACTCCATTCATAGCTTCTTTCACAGAAGAGAATACAAATAAAAGTAAGAGGGTTTCAGTCAACACAGCTTCAATTTATTTCTTTTTAAAGGAAAACTGCCATAACTGCTTCCTGGAATACAATACTCAAGTACTAAGTTTAGCATAGATTTGTACAGAATATTTTGGTGAAAAATATTACTTCATTTTATGGGGGAAAATAAATAAAACCCTGTTAGGACAGCCAGACTGGCATATACCCTCATCCTATTCACAGGGCAGTTAAAAAAGAGACAAATAAAGTATTTATGCATTGTTTACTATATGCTTCTTCCACAAGGAAGGAAGCATTTTATCATGCCTCATTCTTACTCAGTGCCACAACACGTTAACAGACATCCTAAGCTGAGCTGTCTATTCAATATAGACAGATAATTGTTTCCAAATAGCTTAAGATGGTACAGAGAACCAGCCAGCAAGACACAGTACACTGCTGTACTTCAATACAAAGCCCTGCACATGGGATAGAAGAACCTCACGCCCGGGTATATGCTGGGTACAGACAGGATAGGAAGCAGTTTTGCAGCAAAGGAGCCAGGGGTCTTGTGGATACCAAGATGAATGCAGATCAGCAGTGTGCCCTTGTGTTGTAAAAAGCCAACTGCACCCTGGTCCAAGTTCACAACAGTGTATCCTGCAGACCGAAAGAAATAATCATTGCCCTTTACTTGGCATGAGAAACTACATCTGGAGTACTGTGTTTAGTTTGGGGCTCCCCAATACAATAAAAACATTGGCATACTGGAACAAGTCCAGTGGGGAGTTACTGAGGTTAATAAGTACTGGAGCACATAATGCATGAAGCTAAGAGAACTGAGCTTGTTCAGTGTTAAGAAGTGGTGGTGGAGAGAAATCTGATTACTGTCAATATCTAATATGAGGGTATAAGTAAGATAGAGCTAGACTGTAAGGTTAGAGGACATGGGCAGTAATAAGTCAAGTGGTAATGGACACAATCTGTGATAAGAGAAATTCTTACTAGATTTAAGGGGCAGAGCGAACAAACAAACAAACAAAAAATCCCAGTGAGGGTCACGGAACTTAGAACAGGAACCCAAAGAGGAATTTCCATTCTTGGAAATGGACAAAGTTCAGCTGGGCAAGGCCCTATACAACCCAACCTCAGTTGGCCCTGCTTTGAGCATATGTTTGGACCAGATGACTCTCAGAGGTCCTTTCCATGCTAAATTGTATTGTTCTATAATGTTCTGCAAATAGACATTAATTGCTGTTTAACAGCAAAGGTTAACTCATAGATGCAAAGTTCAAGTTGTAGTCAGAGCTCTAAAGTTCAAGGTGTAGTGAAATGACTCCCAAGTAGTGCTACTTTGCCAAGAAGTACCAACTTGAATTCTGTAGTCTAAGTATAGACCATATACATTTTTAACTGAATAGACAGAACAAGCAGAATTTAAGAAAAAAAAAGAAAAAAGGCCACAGAATATGGTGTGGTTTGACTTTGCTAAGTAAGAGATGTGCAAGATGAAGATGGGGAACTGGGGCATCACTACAGATGGGGGCATCTGCTGCGGACTAGGTTGGTCCCTGAGTTTGGGATTCTGACAAATTGTCAAGCTAGCCTAAGAAACCCAAATCATGAAACACCTCAGATTTCATGAAAACTTCTTCCCCCTCAGAGCATTTCACAGCCAGTCCCTTCAAACTAATGTACTTACTTCAGTCCTGAACTTCAATGCTCATATATTTCCAAAAAGAGTTGATTTAAATCTGTTTCTAGCAAGACAGCTCCAGAGGAATTCAATACTAAGTTCTTGCAAGACTAAGGAAAAAAGAAATCTAGTATTTTTGCTTGAAGAAGCAATAAAAATACCTCAACTTGCTTTCTGCAGAAAAGATATATATAAAATTAGGATCAAAAGAGCAGAAGTCTTAATGATATTCACAAAGACAATGATCATTTATGTCATACTTGCCAAACAATATTCATTCAAGCAACCTACAAGATATAATTATCTAGTAACTGTGCAAATAGCTATGAAAATTAAATTAGCTTTCCTTTCATTTGCCAACTATATTATTAAAGATATATGAAAGAGGGAAGAACAGATTTTTTTTTCAAAGGTATTTAAGGCAACTTTTATGTTGGAGGCTTACTGAACACTCTTCCAGACAAGCATAGTCTTTTGTATCCATGGTGGCCAGACTGTGTGGAAAAAGCCCAAATAAGACCAGTGACAGATGAACACAAAAAGAAAAAAGGCATGAAGAAAACAGTAGGTCAAGATAAGCTTAATAATAATTCTTCACTGCTTGATAACTCTCTTGAGGTTTATTTCACAAATTTAGAAAAAACACAGGTGTATGACTGCAGCAAGTCCTAGCTTGCCAGTAAATTCCCTCTAAATCAGATCAGTTAGGGTATCATTTACTGGACTAACAACAAAACACTGAATGTTCCTTTTTCTCATTATGAGCACATTATGCTGGAATTTATGACCAAGAATGCTATCCCTGAGAACTATTTCTTCATGGAGAAACCAAGTAGGAATTTGTTTCGAGAAAGCTATTTGTATCACACCAGTCTGTGGGCATCTGCCACAAGTATTACTTTATTTAACGAATATCTTTCTCACCTGTTGTACAGGAGCACATACACTCATATTGTGTTAGAGAATTACCATAAAACTACCATTAATTGTGTATTTGGAGCAAAGGCATTACATGACTGCCATGAACAGTCCTAATCCAACACCCAATCAGCAGAAAGTCTTCATTCACTTCCAGGTAACACTTCAATATGCCTGTTGCACTTGCAATTTGTAAGTATCACTTTTATCTTTAAATAGTACTTGACAGGTTTTGTTTGGTTGATTTTTTTAAGTTTTTTTTTTTTTATTTTTAAAGACATGTAACATAAGATGGGATCTGTCCACCTAAAATAAGCAACTCATGAAGCAGTGACAAAAGACAGACTATCTCCATAGTGGCCTCCTGTCTGCCTAACTAAACAAAACACGTGGTTGCATTTGTATACTTCTAGAATAGGCAGATGATACCACAAACACTTGCAGTCTGAATGGAAATTAAGTCAATCTTTGCCTTCCCACCTGCTATTAACTCATGCAGAATCACTTTTTTTTCTTTAACTTACACAGCGTGACTGATATCATTCAGCTGACTATTCCCATCTTCAAGTGCAGGACTGAAGGGTTCACATCGTTTCCATCCATCTTCTGTTTTAACCCATCTCCATCCAGGGGATCTCCAATCTTGGCCCAAAAATGGCATGGTTTCTCTATAAGCAGCAAGAAGATTGTTTGTGCATTATTTAATTATTAATAAAAGCTGCAAAACTTCTTGTCATTATTTCAGTTTTCTCTTCGTTGCTGTTTCACCCCAGCCAGCAACTAATTACCATGCAGCCACGCACTCCCTGCTCCCAGAGGGATGAGGAGAAGAATCGGAAAAAAAAGTAAAACTTGTGGATTGAGATAAGAACAGTGTAATAGCTAAAATAAAATAACAATGATATATAATAATAACAACTGTAATGAAAAGGAATATAACAAAAAGAAAGAGAAATAAAACCCAAGAAAAAAACCAAGTGATGCACATGCAACTGCTCACCGCCTGCTGACTGATGCCTAAACAGCGATCCACCCCTCCCAGCCGACTCCCCCTAGTTCATATACTAAGTATGACGTCCTATGGTATGGAATATCCCTTTGGCTAGTTCGGGTCAGCTGTTCTGGCTCTGCTCCTTCCCAGCTTCTTGTGCCCCTCCTTGCTGGCAGAGCATGGGAAACTGAAAAATCCTTGATTTAGGATAAGCGCTACTTAGCAACAACTAAAACATCAGTGTGTTATCAACATTATTCTCATATTAAATCCAAAACACAGCACTGTACCAGCTACTAGGAAGAAAATTAACTCTATCCCAGCCAAAACCAGGATACTGTTTAACCTTAAAAAAAAAAAAAAATTATTACCTTGAGGAAAGAAAGTTCTCTGTGGAGCATCCTTTTAAGAAACAGAATCAGTGGTTTCTTAAGTATATTATTGATTCCATAACCTCATTCTTCTTGTCTTTCAGCATTTATTTAGATCAAGGTAGGTTTCCTAGTTCTTTAGAGAACAAGGAAAAGAATCATGGTAGTCCAGGAAAGGGATGATACCAAAACAAGCAAAATTATATCCTGTGTAATCTGCTCCACCATGACCAAACAGATTACTGATTTTGACTGACTAGTAAATAGTTGCTAAAGAGTTTTGACAGGCCACAAAATCAATGCTGTGCCTTTTTTTTTTTTTTCCCCTAAGGCTTATAAATACTGAGTTTGTGCTACACTGTACAGTGATGTTTCAGTAAAGGAATTTTCATTTTCCCAAATATTTTTTCAGTTGTTGTTGACGGTCACCTCCCACACTAGGCTATTAACTGGATACCAGGACAAATAGAGACTGCATCATAAAGTCAATTGTGAAATGTCTCCTGAAATTCCTACAAACAGATGCAAGTCATCACAGGTATATCATTCAAACAGTGTTCTGCTACCCCTTATCAAAAGGGAGAATCACTTCTGACACGTTAAGTAAGAATATGAACAAAGCAGTTTTCTACACTTTGAAGACTCTGACCTTGCTAGCTTTTGCCCTCTTCTTCCCATTCATCATGCATACATGTTGCTCCTTATTTTAACTAGAGATTTCACATGCCAGCTATACAAGGAAAACAGCATTATCATATTTGAAATATATGTTAATATATTGACACCAACAGCTTTGTTCCTAACAAGTATGCATTTTCTAATATTTTTTCAACTTGAAAAAATATTGGGCCACATCAAACACCACTATGAATTTATTTATCCATTTGCACTCTTGACCAGCATCTGCCCAATATACTAGTTAGAACAGGAGAAGGGACAGACGCATAAAAAGCCTAAATAAATACAAGCTGAGTGAGCCAGTATTTTTTTTTTTAATTTAAAAAATGCACACCACACAAAACAAAGTGCATTGTCTAGCCCTCAGCATTGACCAAAGTCCCCTTCCTACTCATAACTCAGCCTTCCTCTGAATCTAACAGGAATCTTTTCCTAAACTTACCACATCCTTTCCTCCAGCCACCACAAACTCTAATCATGCCTATCTGCTTTTCCAATCTTTTTACTGCTTCCTAGGAGTAATATGAACCATAACATACTTTTTTCCCCCAAGTTGTTTAGAACTCCCCTTGTTTTGACTAAAATTAAGGCCTCTTGTCCTTATCATACAACTGTTTAAATACTTGGTGCTCATGAGTGCATTTCAGAGTAACATAGGTTAAAGTACTTTTCCTCCTGCCAAGATTAGCAGAATTTACCTGAAAATTTGTTAAATCACTGAAAGAGACTCAGAAAACAGCAGACAGCAAGTCAAAAACATCATCTTAGACAAACATAAAACAGAAGGTTTTGAACCATATCTAGAGATACAGAGCTCATGATCTATTCCTGGTCAGCAGCTCTGATATAAAAATAAAACACTGTTGTAGGTGCATGTCATTGCTCAAAAATTAAAATTTAGAGAGAATTCAGAACCACAGACTTCATTATAGGCTAAATGGGATAACTTGAAATAAAGATTTAAAATATTTCAAGAATACTTACATTGATAAAGAATTGTTGGGAAAAGGAAGTGAAAAAAATGAGACCACATACTTGCAGCAAAGTGGGAACATGTATCGTTAGAGGTTAACAGGGTAAGTTACAAAAAAGAGGATAAAGAAAAAAAACTTCCTGAAAACAATACAAGAAAACATGGAGTATTTTGTTAAAGCAGATGGAAGTAGCTTAAGTCCAAAGCTAATCATAATTTACAGAATAGGATGCTTAGTATACTTCATAAATTCTTAAACTTTGGAAAAAACCCTGTGGTTTCAAGGTATCAGGCCACCCGTGTAAGTGCTATGCATAACTTCCTCACAGGGAGCTGTACTGGCATTTAAAATGACACGCTTCAATAGTTACATGCTCTAAACCAGACTACTTTCCTGATCTTTACAACCTGAAAAGTGATGGTCTTTCATTGCAAGGTTTCAATACAGAACAGATGTTCTGTCATCCCTCCTCAAAAAAATTACATTAAGTGTTTTCAAAATAATAACAGTATAAGGAAGTGCACCCCACCCCCTCACCCCTACCCCCAAGACTACTGATGTCTGCTCCAGAAATCCTGGAAAATCACACTTAAGACAAAAAGCTTATAGAGACATGAATGATTTCTGTATATGTATGACATATTCAGCACATTATCTTTCTAAGAGAAAAAAAAGCTATTAGAAAAATCACAGATTACTTTAACTTCTTTAAAATTACTTAAACATTTATGGAAGATTACAAAAAGTCAGTAATTCTGTGAGGTTGGTACATGTTGACCTAATTATATTTTGTCCTAAAGAAACAGATATTCTTAGTCCAAGACATAGTTTCACTATTGCACCAGCTAAGAGTGCATCCATCAGCAGCATTACCACAAAATGACCTGTACTCATGGTCAAAAGCTGTAGCTCATGGGAATCGGAAATGTAAAAGTATTCTTTTAGTGACAGTGCATATGTAACTAAAAAAAAAAAAAAAAAAATCCCACATTTCTCAGTTCCTGCAGGACTGAAGCATAGATTTGATTGTTGTTGAGGAGTGACCAAATATTAAGAAGCTGCAATGTATCATAAACACTTCTCCTACGCATGTCTTTCATATGAGAAGTGATCATAGAGTATGACTGACTGGACAGGTAAGAAGATCCATTCTTTTGCTCTGCCTCCCCTCAGACTCTGCTTCCCTGTACAGCATTGCACTAAAGCATCCCTGTGGCTTCCAGACAAGAGCTTGCTTTCAAGAGTTCCAGCATACTTTATGCAGTATACCTTCAGTAATAGCAGGCAACTGTTTACTTGTTAAAACCTTCACCACAACAAAAGATAAGCTCCCTAGACTTGGATTTTGGGGAAGAGGCAGTGGGACAGGGTTCTTTAAAGGAAAAAAAGACTGGGGAATGAATGTGGTCATTAGCTAACAACAAGGATTTAAGACAAGACATTGATTGCATTTAGCTTTTTCCTAAAAACAAATAAGAATAAGAGCTCTTCATTTTGCATCATACACCTTTTCCTCAGGAGAGGGGGAGAAAGGACTGAGGAAACAAGAACCACCAGAAATAAGCACAGAAGAGGAGGGCTGTGTATGCCAGCTTAGTACAACTGGATATTACAGTAACTGCTCCAGCCATCCTTGCACTTGAAAGGAAGTTCTGCTTTCCATGAGGTAGCTAACTCAACACGTGAGCAAAGTCACTGCAAAGCCATTCACAATTGCAGCACGTCATCCAATTACTCTGCCACTGTACTGGAAATCTGTCTATATAATCCTGTACTTAAGAACACGTCATTATGACCCAAACCATTCTTGTTATTCAGTAGCAAGTCTGTTGCCAACATGATGGGAACAGGCAAAGTTCTCCAGTTTCCTAACAATCCAGCAGCACACCCATCCCTTCCTTTAGCATGCTAACAAAATCTCTTCAGCAGCTCAACTTTCAACAGAAACTGCTCCTTTACACCCCCACTACAGGCAGATGACCTTCTTCTAGGACCTAGCCCAGTCAACCTCTGTGACTCAGAGGTCAGAGTCTGCTTACAGACTTCATCCCAGCCCATGTTTCCTCATATCAAAAGACTATCTCAAATCAAGTCTCAAACTTCTGCAAGACCACAATTCATCAGCTCCTCAGCTTTTCTTTTGCCCACCCCTATTCTGATTGTTATTTCCCCCATACAACAATTTTAGTGCATCCAGGCCATGCAGTTCTTGGTTCCCAGCAGGCACAAATGCTCCTCATCTCCAACTGAGCCGCCCATCCCAGGCTTCTTCCCTCCAGCCTGCCGCTGTCCCAGGCCTCGCTTCTCCCAGTTCTCCCATCCTCATGCAGTCCGTTGATATCCCAACACGCCACTCCTCCAGGCAGGCTCCAGGCATCCCCCTCCCCCCAACCCCCTCCAACGCTGCCCCTCATCCCTAGCCGCAGCCCCTTCCCCAGACCCACCCGCCCACCCTAACACCTCGTCCCGAACTACTCCAGCTCCACACGCCCCTAAGACCCAGTCCCAAACCCCTCAAGCCACGCCTGCCCGTTCTGTCCACACCCAGCCCCAAACCCCCGGGCCTCCCCTATACAATCCCAACACCCTTCCCCGCCTCATTTGTAGACCCGGGCCCTCGCCCCCCGGCCGGCTGCCTGCCTGCCTGCCTGCCTGCCTGCCTGCCTGCCCGCCCTCCCCTTCCCCTCACGTCCCCTCACCTCACGGTAGCGCGCGCTCGGCCCGGCCCGCGGGGCTATTGACGGAAGTAACGCGCGGCTGCACCCCCCACCCCGCTGATTGGCCGCCGCGCTTGTTGCTACCCGGCAGCGCCCTTCTCCATTGGCGGAAGGGGGCGGTTGGCGTCACCGGCCGGCGCGGGCCAGGCGCGACACGTGAGGTGTTGG